AATTAAGTATCTATTCCAAAATCTCAAAACCTAAAATTTTTAGGCAAAGCCCAATTAGGATTTGTGTTTGATCTATAACTGTACGTGTTCACCCAAACACTTGAGCTTCACTTTCACCTTCTAGGCAACCAGAAAATTAAAAATTATTTTATAATTTAAATTATTTTAAATTACAAAGTGAAAATTTTAAAATAAAAAATAAATTTCATAATATTAAAAAATCTCCTTTTATTTAATAATTTTTATTTTATACCAACGAGGGGTTGGATCAAGCGGTAAGCGGCTTGTTCCAGCTTAAGCAAGATTTCGAGTTCGAGTACTTGTGTATGCAGCAGCTCCCGCTGGGAGACTCACCCACCATTTCCAGGTACGCGACGCGGGTCAGATCCGGATTAGTCGGGGCGAAGCCTCGATACCGGGCGGGAAACCAAAAAAAAAATAATTTTTATTTTATATTCATATCTATTTTATAATCTAAAATAATACAAATTATAAAATAAAACAACTCGTAAAATTAAGGTTTAAGTACCATTTTGGTCCCTCAACTTTTCACTTTGGTACCAAAATTGTCCCTTATCTTTAAAAAGTACCAAAATTATCCTTAAACTTTCATTTTCGGTACCAAAATGGTCCTTCCGTCAGTTAAATGACAGGTGTCACGTTAAAATGCCAGCAAATCAATTCTATTTTTTTCTTAACTAATGACATGGGAAAAAAAAACATAGTTGGCATTTTTTTTTATGAGTTGGCATTTTCATTTAATTTAAAAATAACAATTCTTTTTTTTTTTCACCCACGTCAAGTCAGATTTCTTCTTCCTCTTTGAGAAACCCATCCAGTCAATCTCTTCTTGATTTTCATCTTTGACTTGATCGAAACACCGATGGTACCGTTGCCGGCGACTTCTCCCAACCCCCAACAGATCCAGCAGTCCCTCAGCTTGGTTCTCTCGCAGCAAGGGCCTTCAACTCTCCCCTACGTCAAGGACACTAAATGGCTGATCCACCAAAACCTCGTCACCCTCATGTCTCATTTCCCCTCTCTCGAGCCGAAGACCTCAACTTTCACCCACAATGACGGATGTCGACGATAGCAAGCCACCGTCGGCCTTCTTCTTCTTCTCTCAAACCCAGATCTGGGTTTTTCTCAAACCCAGACTGTCCCGAGAAGATGACCTGATGATAGGTCATTAGGTCCAAATGTAGGCAGCAACAAGCGGAAGTACGAGGACTCGACCCCTCCGTCGTCCGATGGAAGGAGGCCCACCGGCTTCTCATCTCTAGATTCGGCGCCTCACTTTTACAATAGTGTTAATTGATTGATTGAACTGTTCTTTGTATGCACTGTTGATATGCTTATCTAATGCTAGATTCTTGAAGTATTAGTGCTTGTATATGGTCTGGGTTTGTCGTGTTTTTGCCTTTTTGGATCTGAAGTCGATGTGAACATATCTTTCTTGATAGCTAGTAGAGAATAAGGTGTGTTTTTGCTCTAATTTGTATTGGATGTTTTTGATTGACTTTTGGATCTTCTTTGTGCTGATTTGAACGAATTTTAACTGAGTTGAACGAATTTTAACTAAGTTGAACGAATTTTAACTGAGTTGAGCCGGTTTATTTTTATTTAATTTAAATTGCAAACCCAGATCTGGGTCCTTCTACTACTACTGCGGTCGGCCTTCTTCTTCTTCTATCAAACCCAGTTTCTTCACCTCGAACACGGGGGAGTAGCAGTGCCACGAGCGCGTCCAAGATGGACAAGGTGAGCGAGGTTGCTAAAATGCCAGATTTGGGTTTGAGAAAAACCCAGATCTGGGCTTGAGAGAAGAAGAAGGGAGAAGAGAGAGAAAGAAAGAATAAGAAGAAGAAAGAGGAAGGATGAGCAGGGAGAAGGAAAGGAGGAAAGGAGGAAAGGAGGATGTTCAAGTACTTGGTCGGAGTGGACATGCCATAGAACCCAGATTTGGGTTTAATCAAACCCAGATCTGGAAAGGAAGAAGAAGAGGGGAAAAGAGGAGAGAGAGAAAGAATAAGAAAAGTTAAAAAAAGTCATGTGGGTCCCATTAAAAGGGAAAGTTAAAAAGGTAATAATATGATGTGTAAAAAAATATGCCACGTGTACAAAAAAAAACATGCCATGGTAACAAAATTTTCTTAGCTGGATTTACACGTCATTAACATTTAAAAAGTTAAGTGATTTACTGGTAAATTAACGTGACATCTGTCATTTAACTGACGGAAGGACCATTTTGGTACCGAAAATGAAAGTTCAAGGATAATTTTGATACTTTTTAAAGATAAGGGACAATTTTGGTACCAAAGTGAAAAGTTGAGGGACCAAAATGGTACTTAAACCTAAAATTAACATAGCTGTGGAACAACATAACATTGGTAAAACTTACTTGCGGAACAACAGATTATATTGCCAAAACTACAACAGCTAAGTCAAACAATGCTACCTCGTTGGATTAGCTTAAATGGTTAATTTTTTTCTTTTTGGTATTAATCTCTCAGTATCCGATAACCATATTGGATGCCGACTAATTTATAATCGAGCTGCGTCAATCCAATTAAGGGAGAAGTTTTCCTGGTATTTGTTTCTCTATTCAGGAGATTCAAACTCAAGACTTTATTTAAGAAAATCAAACTCCTTCCGTTCGAAACAATTGGACATGTTTGGTTCAACTTTCAA